AAAAATAAAATAAAATAAATTTTTAAAAAGAAAAGACAAAAAAAAGAAAATGCAAAATCCCGCCAGACTGTGCTGAAATGCAATCAGAGCGGGATTTTCCCAGACCGCAGGAAAAACTAAGCTAATGGATGCATAGAAATTAGATTTCCGGTTTTCCCCGGGGGAAAATGTTCACGAAACATATTTGGCATCAGACAGGCAGAGGCCTGACTCTGGCAGGATTAGCTACCACTAGCTGTGGGACTTTATGTATTTATTTATTAGAGCCAGGGTCTTGCTCTGTCACCCAGGTTTCAGTGCAGTGGAAGGATCGTAGCTCACAGTGAGCTTGAACTCTGCATTCCAATGAGCCTCCTTCCTCAGCCTCCTGATTGAGTCACTGAGAATACAGGGGGCCACCACATCTGACTAATTTAAATAATTTTTTATCTGGCTATGTTGCCCAGGTCATCCAGCTTGCTTACTTGCTTGCTTTTTCTTTCTTTCTTTCTTTCTCTTTCTCTTTTCTTTCTTTTCCTTCCTCCCTTCCTTTTTCTTTCTTTTCTCTCTCTGTCTCTCCCCCGCCCCCCTTATTGAGACAGCGTTTGGTGCTTGTTGCCCCCGCTGCAGTGCAATGGCACCATCTCGGCTCACCACAACCTCTGCCTCCTGGGTTCAAGTGATCCTCCTGCCTCAGCCTCCCGAGTAGTGGGATTACAGGCATGTGCCAGCATGCCTAGCTAATTTTGTATTTTTAGTAGAGATGGGGGTTTCCCCATGTTGGTCAGGCTGATCTCGAACTCCCAACCTCAGGTGATCGCCCTGCCTCGGCCTCCCAAAGTGCTGTGATTACAGGCGTGAGCCACCACACCCGGTCAGCTTTCTTTCATAGCTGAATGACTTTAAGGAAAAGATCTGTGTTGCTTGAGCCTTGATGTCCTCATCTGTCATAGTGGAGCAGTGGTCCCAAGGAGCACAGGAAGCAGTGCCTTTAGAGGCCAGGTAGTGACACAGGGCAGAGGAGGAGGCAGGTGGCTATACCCGTGCAGGGGTTCACATTTGTCTCCCTGACTCCTACCAGGCACCCATGGCCTTGGAGAACTGGTCAGGGGCATCCTCTACCGGAGGTCTTAACAGGTCCATAGGGTTGTGCTCATCTCCTGCTCTCTGTGCCAAGGGAGCACCCGAGAGCTGAACCTCCGGCTCTATGGCCTGGGGCCCCAGGTACCACTGGAGGGACACTAGATCCAGGCTTCCAGGGAGAGGCCCCGGGAGACAGCAGCCATGGGAGTGCTCCTGAGTCTGTCCCACACTCCCCAGCTTCTGCCTGTGCCAGAAATGCCCCATCCCCCATATCTGGGAGACAGATGGGATTGAGGCTGTGACAGGTGGCATTAAGGGTTGGGGAGCCTGCAGGCCCCTAACCTGCTGGGGACTCAGGGAGAGCTGGGGGTGGGGAGGAGACCTGGGCGGAGCCTAAAAGGAGATGCAAGTGTTCCTTAGGCAGGTGGGAAGGGGAGGGAGGCAGAATGAGCTGAGCCTTGGAGCATGTGCCAGCATAGTGGCCAGTGTGTTTGCTCTGTCTGTCCCAGGGTGCCTGTGCTCTGGCTTCCTCATTGAGCTCCAGTTTATCGGTCAAGCCGCTGGACCTTCGAGACAATGGGCTCTGTGGGGCAGGTGCAGAGGCCCTGGCAGGTGCCCTGAGCAAAAGCAGCAGCATCCATGGTAGGTGCTGGGCCTGGGGCAGGTGGGCAAGCATGAGTGCTCCCTTTCCTCAGGGATGAGCCTCTACCCCTGAAAGCTGGGCCGTGTCACCTGGGGCCTGCTGGTGTTGCTGGTGGATAGAGGAGGGGGTCTCATCACAGGAGGGGCATGAGGGGCAGAGCTAGAGGCTCTGCTGTGCAGACAATGCTGGATACAAGTCCCTTTCTCACCCACCCCCCCACCACTCTCCTTTGCAGGCTTTCATCCAACCACCAGGATGAAAACAGAGTTAGGTCCAGGGACCCAGTAGAACATTGGGGTGCATGAGGTGGGAATAAATGGGCTTGGAGAGAAGTGGAGATTGGGAAGGTGCCTGATTAGCATAGAAACTAATGATGTTGGTTCAGCACCCGCAAGATGAGGACAGTGACTGCAGCAACCTTAGAGCTTCACAGAGGAAGTGAGTGATGCCGCCATTTGCCAGGTCTGGGATGGGTACCCTTCTCCTGGGCAAAATTCAGGAGGAGTACCCAGACAGGATCATAAACACATTCAGCGTCCTGCCCTCGCCCAAGGTGTCAGACACTGTGGTGGAGCCCTACAGTGCTACCCTCTGTCCATCAGCTCATAGAAAATGCAGACGAGACTTTCTGCATTGATAACGAAGCACTCTATAACATCTGTTCCAGGACCTTAAAACTGACCACACCTACCTACGGTGACCTGAATCACCTGGTGTCTGCTACCATGAGTGGGGTCACAACGTGCCTGCGCTTCCCGGGCCAGCTGAATGCCGACCTGCGGAAGCTGGCCGTGAACATGGTTCCATTTCCCCGGCTGCACTTCTTCATGCCCGGCTTTGCCCCGCTGACCAGCCGGGGCAGCCAGCAGTACCGGGCCCTGACCGTGGCTGAGCTCACTCAGCAACTCTTTGATGCTAAGAATATGATGGCCGCCTGTGACCCCCGTCATGGCCGCTACCTAACTGTGGCTGCCATTTTTAGAGGTCGCATGTCCACGAGGGAGGCTGTGCATTCCCCTGACCTGCCATGCACATGATAGACTCCCAGTGCCTGAATGCAGGATGGAAAGTCCTGCAGCAGAAAGAGTTGGGGGCTGGGAGTACAAGAAAGGGGTGGGCAAGGTGAGAGTTCAGTGGAGCTCCTGCTTCCCACACAGCCACCTTGGCCAATCCCCTTCCACTCCAGCCACACGGAACTCTTCATTCCTTCCACAAATACCTCATTACCCACTGCTGTATGTGCTGGGCACTGACTTAGTCACTGGGGATCCACCTTGAACAAAACCAAGTTCCTGACCTCAAGGAGCACATGCTAACAACAACATTCTCAGTCATTATTGGTGCTGCAAAATAAATACCGCCTGCTTCTAGAGAAGAACAGGGACCCCCTGCTTTAAAGAGGTGGCTGGGGAGGCCTCTGTGAGGTGACATTTAAGCTGAAATGTGCAGAGTGGGAAAGAGACAGCCATGGCAAGATCAGAGGGAGAGCATTTCACGCAGAGGAATAGTGAGCATGTGGGCCTGTTTCCCAGACTGGCAGACAGCAGTGTGACTAGGCTAGGGAGTCAGAAAAACATGGCCAGGCTGCGGGGTGGAGAGGGCAGAGGGGTCTGCAGGGCTGTAGGTCATGGCAAAAAGGGTGAAGATTTTATTCCAAGTGAGGTAGCAGGCATGGTTGGGATTCCTTCATCTCATCACTCTCTCTCATGCCTCTGAGCGTTTGCTTTGCCAGGAATATGCACTTTTACCTGCCTCTCCTCGAATGGTTCAATAATAGTAACAATCACCTGGGACCCTGGGTTAGGCATACAGATCCTGGCCCTGGACCTGTTGTTAGGGGAATGCCTGTGAATCTGCATTTTGTTGGATGTCCCTGGAGAACTGTCTTCTCTGCAACGTTTCAAAAGCACTGCTCTGTCTCAAGCAGTTTAGAGGGAGTGGGGTGGCACCAGCCTTGACTTTTGAGAATTGATTGGCCCTGAAGTGTAACTGCCAGAGAACCAGTTTGCCTTCTAAAAAAAAAATTACTACTGGGGCCGGGTGCAGTGGCTCACACTTGTAATCCTAGCACTTTGGGAGGCCGAGGCAGGCAGATCACCTAAGGCCAAGAGTTCAAGACCAGCCTGGCCAACATGGTGAAACCTGTCTCTCCTAAAAATACAAAAATTAGCTGGGTGAGGTGGCACACACCTGTAATCCCAGCTAGTTGGGAGGCTGAGGCAGGAGAATTGTTTGAACCCGGGAGGTGGAGGTTGCAGTGAGCTGAGATCACACCACTGCACTCCAGCCCGCGCAACAGAGCAAGATTCTGTCTCAAAAATAAATAAATAAATATATGAATGAATAAATAATAAAAATAAAATTACTACTGAGAGTCAGCAAAATTAAAAGACAGGCTTATTTCAGACTTTGACAAACAGTATAGATGTCTCTCTGGACCTGCACAGCCAAATGGCAAGTGCCAGAGAGGCAGCCGGGATGGAGAGCCTGGAAGCCAAGATGCTGTGAAGGCTTCACAAACAGACACATGTACATGAGGGAGGTAGGTGGGGCCTGGAAATGGACAGGCCCAGCAAGGCCATTTTTTTTCTCCAAGTGGAGGTCTGTGGGTGGGCCCAGCTCCCTTGAGAGGTGAAGGAGCTTGGGTCTCTGTCTCCCCACTTGATTCATGGCAATGGCAGCACCTACGGCACAGGACGGCTGCAAGGGTCACACAGAACAAGCACTGGCAGTTGCAGGGGTATGTAAAAGAATCTTCCCACCTTCTAGCTGTCCAGCAAAAATGGGGCCTCCGCACAAAGTGGGGGATTACTGATGACCCTCCCAGCCCTAGAAGTATTTGAGGAAAGAGAAAAGCACATGTAATTGAGTAGTATTATCAAATACAGTGCTGGGCAGAGTCTAGTTCTCAGGTAGAGAGGGATCCTTGCTTCTGTGCAGGGAGCTCTCCATGGTGCTAAACAAAAGTGTCTGTAGCCATGGGTGCCAGTCCAGCAGTCTGGCTGAGCCTCTGGTTAGTCCATCCATTTTTCTTCTGTGCATTTCTTCAAACCAGCCTTCCTAGACCTATGCTAGGTGCTGGGATCATGGAGAGAGGTCAACTTCAGATATTCAAGGAACTCTCAGACTGGTAGGAAGCTACCAGTTTGAGGACATCGGTAAGCTCAGCCAGGCAGGCAAGGCTTCCTGATGCTATGAACCCAGATTAGAAGGATAAGGAGGCTCACGCCTATAATCTCAGCACTTAGGGAGGCCAAGGCGCAAGGATCACTTGACTTATGGAGTTTGAGACCAGCCTGGGCAATGCAGTAAGATGAGCTTGTCTCTACTAAAAATAAAAACAACAACAAAAATAGCTGGGCACAGTGGCACATACCTGTAGTCCTAGCTACTCAGGAGGCTGAAGCAGGTGAATCACTTGAGCCCAGGAGGTCAAGGCTGCAGTGAGCTATGATTACACCACTGCATTCCAGCCTGGGTGACACAATGAGATCCTGTCTCAAAAAAGAGGGAGGATGAGGAGATGTTAGCCAGGAGAAGGGGCTTTCAACTGGAAGACAGCCCGCAGACATGCCAGTGCTGGTGCTTTTGCAAACTGGAAAAAGGTTAGGGCCAGGCACAGTGGCTCATGCCTGTAATCCCAGCACTTTGGGAGGCCGAGGCGAGTGGATCACCTGAGGTCAGGAGTTTGAGACCAGCCTGGCCAACCTGGTGAAAACTGTCTCTACTAAAAATACAAAAATTAGCTGGGTGTGGTGGTGGGCACCTGTAATCCCAGCTACTCAGGAGGCTGAGGCAGGAGAATCACTTGAACCCAGGAGGCAGAGGCTGCAGTGAGCCAAGATCGTGTCATTGCACTCCAGTGTGGGCGACAGAGCAAGACTCTGTCTCAAAAAAAAAGTCAGACTGGCTAAGTGCTGACAGAGAACAGAGAGTGGGACAGGTGGGTATTGTTATGCTCGTTTTACTTTCTCAATATCCTTCAGGGTTTCTTCTCCACACTGCCTACCTTCCTTTCTCTATTTTTTTATTTTTTTGAGACAGGTCTATTTCTTAATTTTTAATTTTTTGTTTGTTTGCAATGCCCATACTATCAACTATGCAACCGGATCAGAATTAATTTTTAATTTTTATGGGTACTTAGTAGGTATATATACTTATGGAGTACATAAGATTTTTTTTTTTTTTTTTTGAGACAGAGTATCACTCTTGTTACCCAGGCTGGAGTGCAATGGTGCGATCTCGGCTCACCGAAACCTCCGCCTCCTGGGTTCAAGCAATTCTCCTGCCTCAGCCTCCCGAGTAGCTGAACTACAGGCATGTGCCACCATGCCCAGCTAATTTTTGTATTTTTAGTAGAGATGAGGTTTCACCATGTTGACCAGGATGGTCTCGATCTCTTGACCTCGTGATCCGCCCGCCTCGGCCTCCCAAAGTGCTGGGATTATAGGCGTGAGCCACCACACCCGGCCAGGATACTTTTATACAAGAATATAGGGTGTAATAATCACATCAGGGTAAATGGGGTGACCATCACCTCAAGCATTCATCACTTGTGTTATGAATATTCCATTTGTACTTCCTCAGTTATACGTTTTTTAATTGTTTTTTTTTAATAATAAAAAAGACAGAGTTTCACTATATTGGTCAGGCTGGTCTTGAACTCCCAACCTCAGGTGATCTGCCGCCTTGGCCTCCAAAGTGCTTGGATTACAGGCCTGAGCCACCACGCCCCTCCTCAGTTATTCTAAAATGTACAATAGGCCATGTGCGGTGGCTCACGCCTGTAATCCCAGCACTTTGGGAGGCCGAAGCAGGCGGGTCACCTGAGGTCAGGAGTTCGAGACCAGCCTGGCCAACATGGTGAAATCCTGTTCTCTACTAAAAATGCAAAAATTAGCCTGGTGTGGTGGCGGCCCCAGAGGCTGAAAACGGAGGTGCAGCTGGAGCTGGGATCTGAGAAGTAAGAGAAATGGCACTGACTCTGGAGACAAAGCAGCCCAGGGTGGTGCTGAGGCCTGGAGTTTGGGAACAGCAGGAGGTAGAGCGGACTTGGACAGAAGCTAGGTGATTTTTTTGAAATAGACATTGTCATGGTGATAGGCATGAGGTGCCAGCTGGGGCAGAACACATGGGAGCCCCTGCAGAGCTCAGAGGGCCAGGACGCGGCAGCTGGTGTCCACCAGGACAGGGACACTGTAGGCGTGTTTGCTGCATGATCCCTCTGAACGGTGTCATCTCCACCTTTTACACGTTGACCTGCCCAGCGTTCCTGGGGTGTGAATAGAGGGCTGGAACGAGAGACCCAACTTGGTGGCTGCAGTGGCAGCTCCAGTGGGCACCCGGGGCAGTGGGCTCTGCACAGCTGCTAGGAAGCTTGCACAGCACAGGTGTCTGTTGTCTTTGCTGCAGCAACAACCGCATCTCTGCGATGGGAGCCTGAGCCTGGGCCTGGGCCTCCGGGCCAACCAGACGCTGAGGATTCTGGTAGTGAGTGCTAGCCTGATGGCCGAGACCCCAGCATAGACCTGCCCTGTACCAACCCACACAGATCCCTGAGTCATGGCCCCCATCCAGGGGCAGCCAGCAGGTGCACACAGGCTCCCTCCCTTGCCACTCACCCTGCATCTGAGGTCTGGCCCTCCTCCTCTCCCCTTCCTTCCCTCCCAGCCTCTCCCCTACACCTTCTTGCTACCCTTCCCTCTGTGGGCTGGGGTGCTGCTCTGCTGAAGGTGGCTGGGCACCCCTTGTGTCTCCCTCATCTTCTTCCTTGCCTTTCCCTGGCCTTGCTGGGACCCCGGCCCCGCCCAGGTGTTCTGTTGGCCACTGCTCAGGCTGAACTGAGGCCTGGTGCGCCCAGGTGGGGTTCCTTCCCCCAGGTTTGCAGATGGAGAGGGAGTGCTGAGCAGGACAGGGAGCAGAAGATGGACAGGGAAGGGAGCCAGGCAAGGCGGGAGCAGGTCTCCAGGGGACCACTGTGCCCACATCAGGTACGTGGTAAGGGACAGTATCGCCAGCTGGGTGCAGACATCCAGCT